ATTAATGTAGTTTAATACACAACATTCTGTAAGAGAGTGAACCAACAGAAAAAAAAAATACTTGAGAATCAAGCTAAAACACATTATGGTGATATGAAAGGCGTCGAGATATTTAATCCACGTCGATAAAATGAAATTCATCTATACCCTTTTCGGTGGTAACAATTTTGAATACTCATATGTTAACATAAGCTGGCGCGCCGTATTACCGATATTTATTTTTATATTGACGTTTGTTACACACTATACTAAGAATTATTCGGTATGAAGTGTTCTATATGTCATTTTGGTAGAGTAATTATGAAGAGATCGAAGTAAAACTGTCGAAATCCCGTGGATTCGTGATTTTTTATACGCTACTGGACCAATGGCGCCATCTGTAACGTTGACCTGCAATTAAATTTTTGCTCTAAATGCACGTATTACTCACGGGATAAGCCAGCATTCCCTTGCTTTGTTCTTGCAATCGTTCCTGAAAGTATTTTCAAAATTATTCCATCTAACTCTGTTATATTCCAAATTGTTCGAGCTAGGTTCTGAAACTCCTCATTTTCGATTCCAAGCCTTCGAAAAGCGTAAAACGGCAGAAGCATGCACGGGCGGCATCATTTTGGTTCTAGTCCATGATAAATAAAAAATTCTTGTATAAAAATTGAAATTTTATGAGTTTTAGTACCTCCCGTAGGGCCTGCATATTCACGTCGTAACTTTTGGAACGAATCGGTACATCCAATTCGGAGAATGCTTTCACGAACAATTTGACCTCTCAGATATATGTAAATTGTCCCTTTCATATCACCTTCATTGATAGAAGTAAGCGAGTTTAGTCCGGTGAATTAAAATTCGGTTCAATGAACCAAATTTTGAAATTGACAAAATGATTTTAGTCAAGCGATTTTGTTTAATGAACTGAACTTTTTTCTACGTGTTATAACTAAGCGTAGAACAACAAGATTGTGCAAGACTCTTGTATGTGTTACGGGGGCTACCTTATCTCCTCAAAATAGAGAGACGCGCATAACATTAGGCATGAGTCAGTCATCGGTAAATATTGGTAATAGGTAAATAGGTAAATATTGAATCCAAAGCAATGATAATATCATCCGATTAACCCGGAAAAATAACAACTAATGGAGGAACCTACGAGGAATGTTTTGGCTTTACCGCACGCCTACCGGATGGAACTGCACTCTGGATCAAAACACGGGGCCTACTCATCCGTCATCATAGTGACTTCCTGATCACGTTCGATCAAGCCACTAGTAACAAAATCCAAAAACAAGGAAATTGGACCCTCTCCCCACGGGCATCTCAAGTCTAAGATCCAGTATAAAACCTGAACCGAATAAGAGCACAGGGCTTGTCTCAGGCGGTCTGAAAATCACTATTCTGCTAAGACCCACCTCTCAGTTAGTCAGTCCACACTCTGCGTGGCTGGGGTTCTCTGAACAGCTGACTGTACTGTTAGGAACAGTTGTGCGTTTCGGTACTCCGACATCCACGAGCCAATAGTAAGAAGAACGACGACGCTGCGATTTCCGGACCAGCGGGAGAATCTTAGGAGAATCTCTCTAACCCTAGGGCACGCCCCGGTTTGAAGGCGTTCACGTGCAGTTCATCGCAACCGGCAGGACGTAGGAGAGACGTCACCGGAATTAAAGGCCTCTACGAAGCCATGGTACAGATCCTCTTCAAAAAGCTCCACTCTTTCTCTCTTTCACTCTTCATCACTTTCTTTCGAACCCTATTCTAATTTACTAATCCGCAACAGAATTCGGTATTCCCCTTCCGGTAACGACTACCATATTTTAACTCCTCACAATATAAATCGTAACTCATTAGCTGCCCTTGCTAAGTAAGGCAAAGCGCACGTTGCCAGCAATGAATCTTGCGTCAGCATTTCGCAATTGATACGCGGACATATACCGTTACACTTCCGCGAGTCGCTAGCGCACGACCTCCAACGTCCTTGTCTCGTCTCGCGACAGTCCGCTTAGCACAGTATATATTTTGCACACCTTACCCCCATGGACATTGTACTCCTTGCATCACAAATAGAACTGTTTTGATTCAATCTAAAACGACAACTTAATTCTCACGAAACCTTAAAATTTCTTTTAATTCCTCTACAAACAATATACCACTCGGAGGAATCAGCAAAATTCCCCCGGCCTCGGTAGCCACTCGCTCGCCCCGTAACATATGCAAGACCAAGACCAAAACCAAGACTACCATGATCTTGGTCTTGGTCTTGCATATGCTCATCACTGGTCATATACTTCACTTGATTAAATGTTCAAATCGTCTCCCATTTGCTGCTTAACAATAACCTAGTCTTAGATGAAATTCATTAAAAACATTTTATCTCATCTCTGGCGAGAAAAGATTTATTGAAACAGTATACGTTCACTGAGGTCTACAATGTTAGCAAGTTTGGTTGCATACACTTTGTTTTTAACATGCCTCCATAAAAACGGTCTAAAGATGAAAGATCTGGTAATCTAGAAGGCTCTGTTTGTCCACGCTTTCCAATCCGTTGGTTTGAAAATGTATCATCTAAAGTGTTGGAAGTGATGCGGACATTTGTAGAAAGTCCTTATTCTACCATAAGGAAGTTAGCACAGACGGCTGAAATTAGTACATTTTTCGGTCAAAAAATTATAGAGAATGAAAAATGACATCCCTTCAAATTAAATTTACTCATGAACTAACGAAACATGATTTCGGTAGAAGAAATGACTTTTGCGATGAAATAATGCATTGATACGATGAGAGTAATACCTTTCATAATAACATAATTTTGTCATCCTCCTTGCACCGACTTTCAGTGCCTGTTGAGCGAAACTTGCCTATTACAATGCTCGATCACACTTTACCTCCCTCGGAAATAATATAGTCACTTTTCACCCGTATAAAAGTGGAGTTCGGAAGGCAAAGTATCATTACATAGTTGGTGGTGTATCGTTGGAGTGGAGTGTTTTTATTAATAAATACCTTGTACAAGTAAATTATGTATAATTGTTTATAACAAATTTGTAAACAATTAAAAAAATCTAGTTTGAAGGGAAAATGAAAAATGATGTATGTATCTCGAAATTTCAATAGTTGCTTCCGACTCGTGTGTCGCCTTCACTTTGCTCAAGTGAAGCACGTGACCATCCATGCGCGCGCATGCATACATGTATCCACGCGCGAGCACACACATGGGAATGTTATGTCCGACCATGCAACCTCCACGCGGTTATCCTACATAATACTAACGCTGGCGACATGGTAAATTTTAAATCTCATAACTCAGGTAATACTCAACAGAAATAGGTCGGTCATCAATCAATGTTTTGGAAAGGCCCCTCATCAGTTTGAACACTAGCTGATAAAAAATGGGATAATCCGTTTAGAAAAGTCATGCTGACTTTAATGTGATCTTGACCTCTTCACTCAACGTCAAAGGAGTACAATCATTCCATTGAACTTTTGAAACCATAAAACTGTGGTCTGACACTTTTTTCTCAAAAATTTTTCGTTTTCAAAATATTTGACTGTTTCCAGACTTTGCTAACACTCTATATGTAAAATGACCCTTTCATAACACTTTAAAGAATATTTGTACGAAAAGCATCAACTACACCTGAATAAATGTGACAGCGTATTATTACAGCATGTCCTTCAATCAGTTTCGATGTAATAAGACATGTGACTGAATCGGTGATAAAAAGACTACAGTAAATATTAAGAAAAGACTATGTTAAATATAAAAATATAAAATTCTATTTCAAGAAACGCTGTTGACCTTGATATCTTGGAAGCAACTCCACCTACAAAAAAACTCGTAACTACTGTCTGATGATCCCTTCTGTACTACGGAACTTCCGTTAGACAAATTCATTTTTGGCAGCCATAGTTTTTAAGATATTAATAATTATTGGATCAACAGGTATTTTACAAATATCATAAAATCAGTAACTTTACATGGAGTCATTGATGATACCAATTATAGTAAAAATCATTAATAACGGTTTCAATTCCTAAAAATTGAGAATGCTCTTTTTAAAATTTCCGTTAGTAGGCCAAAATTTCACTTGGGATTCACTCAGGCGCAATGCAGCAGTAAACTCTAAGCGCTATCAATTAATCATTTTTAGGTATTTTGACTTGAAACATGAAGTTAAATATTTTTTTAATTAGTAAACTTTAAGAAAGTGTGATAATCGTAAAATAGATTTTTTGAGCCTGTATAGATGTATACATGTGTACATATGCACCCTCTTAATTCAGTAAATTAAGTTACTTTTAGACATTACACGTGAAGGCAATAGTGTTCTTACCAAGAAACACACGTTTTTAAACAGAAACTCTATAATTTCTTAAGTGGATTCACTGTAATCAAAGTTTTCTAACGCTTAATTACTAAAAAGTCTTCAAAAGTGATATTTAGACGCTTAGATTAGTTATAACAGTGGGATTATTACATTTGAAATTATATGTGTAGTTATTTAAGTGCACATATACCAGACATGTTTGAATACTTCTAATGCTGTACTCTGATCGCGTTCATAATGACAAGACAGGGTTCAATTGGAAAATAGTCGATTTAGCGTTATTTTATCATGAGAATTGACAAATCTTACTTTCAGTCGGTTGTTATGGTAGAGTTAGAGTTAAGATAACACTATTATAAGTTACAAAAAATTGTGTAACCCAAGACCAGTCGTAGAATTTGTTTCAATAAGGATACCTGTCCGGCATAGTAACCCAATCTCCGGTACGGAATGCAATTCTGATTTCTAGACTACAAAGTGCCTCTCTTTATTGGCGTAACGAGCTGCGTGTGGGGCCTCTTGTTGCTCATCATCAAACTGTATTTGTGACAGCTGTTCTACCCATCAACTCTTCAAGAAAAACGTCAAACATCGTTATCATCAGATCCCGAAGCATCATCGTACATCGGCCGTCATCACCCTTAGCAGTAGCGCGTGTCCCTCACATCACCACATGTTGCTTATTAACTAGATTTGTTCCTGTCAACACGATCGTCAATCGCAATGCTGCCAGCATCTTATCGGCGCCGGGTAAATTATTCGAAGCAGGAAATTCGATTTTTTCACTTAGTTCGATGGTTAAAGTTTTAAGGTGAAGTGAAACCCTCCTTAAATCAGTCTATTGGAATTAGACACTATTTTTGAAGGGTATTGGATCGAACTATTTGAAACTTTAACACATGACACGTAAGCACTTAAGAATTATCATGACACTTACAAAATTTGGATTTTTGAAAACAATTTTTTTTTACTCAGTCTAGACTCAAACCATAATGACGTTAAGCTCGCATATTTCTATCAATATACAATTATTGAAGGTTCTAGTGTGACAAACGAAGCTATCAGGGCAATTTTACAACCATTTTGAACACTAGTAATCGAAAAACTCTCATTTGAACGGGATAAAGACAAAAAAGTATCTTATGCACTTCTACGTTAAAACGGAGGTAGCACGAGGTCTCGAAGAGAAAATTTAATTAGCACTGAAATCACAGATGGCGCAGGCTGACACGTCACAGTCAATTAGGGAGATTAAAACCATGAATCGGGGTAATTTTTAGAGTTTTACTTCGATTTATTTATAATTATTGTACGAAAACGACATGTGGAGTATGCCATTTAGTACAATACCCAATACAATTCGACAGAACTGTCGATATAAATATGAACGTCGATAACGGAGATATTTAAAAGAATTGTTTTCATCGATCTCAATCAAATTTCTCAACGTGTTTCACTTCACCTTAATATCGTTGCGCAGTCCTATGTTTCTTGCATTAAATTCACACTTAATGGCAATTATAATGATTAAAGGGTTGCATGAAGAGTGACCAAGACATATTAAACAAACTGAATTTAGAAAATTAATTGTTAAGGTATAATGGTTCAAATGGACAGCTGAATATGTTCCCCGAATGGACTGTGCATTACAAGAATGAATAACTAAAACCGTATGGTTCAAAGAAATAAGGTAATAGAAGGTGGAATACTTTCTAACAAAATCTTAGGACACAGGCAGCATTGATTTTTTATTTTACATAAAATTTATTTATACAAATAACATTATTGACAAATTAAAGCTGTGACCCTCGATAATATCAATTACTGATGAATAAGTAAATATTGAAATTATAAAAATTCGTTCAGTATTGAAAATTTAGTGAGGCAATTTTTTAAAAAGGAGAAGTCTATTGGATTTGTATCACTGAAACTACGTAGCAGGTCTTTCATTGTTGCGATGCCGCTAAATTACTTACTGCAGCTATTCGGTCACAGTCGACCTGAAGCTGAGCGAAATGCAGATGTAATGGAAAGAAGAGAGCCCTCCATATTTCTCCTGTTATTAGAGAAACTATACTTGTTTAGTCTGTGGACAAGTGTTTTCCCTATTGTTAGTCTTCTTATCCTCTTATCATTCGTATTGCTGCATTGCCCACGAAGTTGCTTCTCTGTGGGTAGAGAAAAAAAGAATAAATAGATTGGTTATTAAGGAAGGTGAATGACCAATGTAAAATACCCTGACGAGCGTTTCGGCATTGTAATATTTCAATGGCTGAAAATGATGCTTTGTTAATTGAGACGAGAATTATATTAGCAATATAATATTTTTTTGTTTCTTTCCTACTATAGATGATCAAATTGTCTGAACAAACCGTTTAAAAACTAAAAGATGAATGGCGAATTATTGATATTAGTTATGTGATTATTTTAGATAAAAAATACCTACGCTTCAATAAACAGCTCTAATGAGCTGTGCATTGTGGTACTTAATTCGACAAGCAATTATAGCTTATTATAAATTAATTAAAATCTCCATCAATACTTTTGAAAAAGTATTCTGCGCGATATTTAACCGTTTGACTGCTAAGCAATTTTTGCAAGAACGCACGAAAACTGCGGAGCAACAAAGAAACACTGAAACTCGCAGCGCAAAAGCGCTGCGTCGCGGTTTTCGAGACAAATGAACGCAGCGCTTTTGCGCCGCGTAGCAGTCAAACGGTTAAGATGGTTCACTTAAAACCAAATACGTGAATATACTGCCTACTATCTTAAGGCGCGTAGAAATATATTTCAAATGATGTTCTTTTAAATGGAACTGTGCATTCTTTAATGAATCCAATTGAAGTGGAAATCGTGACCAATTCAACTATGTATAAGAAACATTTGTTGTGCGAATTTTCAAAATGAATAGTGCTGTTAAATTATCGTTATTTATTCGGGTCTTTGGTTTTTATAAAAACAATGCAGTTAAGGTCTTCAGACTTCCGCGGTTATTGTTCCTTACGTATGAATTGGCTTCTGGGTGATAGCCGCGTGTGAATTTTTCGTCTTACCTACCTTTTAATTACGTTGCAAGGGGTATCATTAGAGTTAGGAGGCATTGGTGTAATTATGGCTCCAATAAAAGAAGTGCCTTTTATATAATCACGGAGTTGATGGCTGGCTTATCAGATTTCACCTGTAGTAGTGGGAAGTAGCGGCAAGTCCGTCAATTAGGTGTCCCATTTGAATTCGGTTGGCCGAACCTTATCGGGCGGATCCCCCCCCCCATTCCCCATTAAAGGTGAAACCTGATTAGCCAGCCGTCAGCTCCTCGATGATCTAGAAAGCCCTTTCTGCTATTGAAGGCACAATTACAACAGTGCTTCTTAGCCTTCATGATAACCGCTACAACGCAGGTCACATGTCGACAAGGCGGAAAATTCACACGCTTCTCAAGGCACGTATCCAAGGCAACTCGCATTACTTTCCAATTTAACAATAATTTTAGCCCAATTAAAGTTTTCCCAAATCTATCACTACTTTTGCTTTTTTCTTCTTCTTAAGGTGAAGTGAACGCCCCCCTCCCCAAATCAGTCGATTCGGATAAAACGCTTTTTCTAAGGGTATTGGACGAAACTGTTCGAAACATGATGCGTGACTTGTAAGCACCTAGGAATTATGTTGAAACTTTCAAAATTTGGATTTTTTAAAAAAAATGTTCAACTTAACCCAGACGAAAACCATAATGGCAACGAGCTCTCATTTCAATCGATATGCAATTATTGAAGGCTCTAATATGAGAAACGAAAGGGTCAGAACAATTGTATGACAATTTAGAACACTCTGGGAATCAAGAAACTCGTATTTGCACGGAATAAAGGCAAAAAAAGTGTCTTATGCGCTGCTATTCTAAAACAATGGTAATACGAGGTCTCGGAGTGAAAATTTAGTTGACACGGAAATCACAGATGGCGCAGGGGGTCACTCTGCAGTCAATTAGGGCTTCAAAAATCATGAATCTAGTGGATTTCTGGAGTTTTACTTCAATTTCTTTATAATTATTTCACGAAGACGATAGATGGAGTATGCCATTTAGTACAATACTCAATAAAATTCGACCCAGATGTCAATATAAAAACAAACGTCGGCAACGTAGGTATTTAGAAAAATCGTTTTTGCGAACGTCGATCAACTTCCTCGACATCACTTCACCTTAGGATCCTTTCGTTCTTATAGAACGGTAGGGCTTCCCCGTCTGTACCTCTGTGAAGTTATATCACAGATACAGGGGTGTCCTACAGCTGAACGTGTGCTTTGAAGCAAATAGGAATATCAAAGATCCTCCCATTTTATGGGAAGTTACAATGCAAATTGTTTAACATTGCCTTGCGAGAGATTAGTGTTTGAAAAACATAAGAGTTCCTGCAATGGCTGCGAACCCAAATTACTTTGGGTTAGTCCCTTTCATTTGGCAACGGGTTCTCACTCCGAATCCATTAAAACTACGTGCGTTACACATGCTTTTTTGCCACACAATAAATGTTTGAAATGCTGGCCTTCGGCATTGTTACGCTTTTGAAAATGTACAATCACAGATTACAGAGCTCTTTGAAAAGTATTCACGCATTTGCAGCATAAAGCCTTGGTATTGTGTTCCTCCGCGTTCTATAAAGTGGTAGATTGTACACAATACGTATCACGCTTCAGCCCTCCCCACAAAAAAATGTCCAGTGGAGTCTGATCTTGTAAATGAGCCGTGATATGCACCCACGACACTCAATTCAGTGATTTAGGATATTACCATTCAGTAAACGAATATGTCGAAGAAAATTTATAATCAAAATACGTGGGTTATAATTTCGTTGAATTAGGCTTGATTATTACTTTAACTGTATTAACCTTTTAATTACGGCGAAGTCGGCCGTGGAACTGTATCGTTTGTAAGAAATGCGCGGCCGCGGGAAGATAATATTTTCTATGAATATGATATTTATCTATTGCATTGAATGCATGCGAATAAAAGGGACCACTATAATGGTGCTTCATTAAAAAACGTCGGCTAGGCACCAAGCAATACAGTGGCATTTCGTAACTAAAGGGTTAATTAAAAAATACACGGTTCCGTTTTAAAAAAACATCGATGACTTTGATACGTCTGGAAAAAGTGACTTTGAAACAAGAGTCTTTCTTACATTAAATTAGGCCTAAAATACACTTCAAATTATATTTGAAGCATTTTTATTCATCTTCACGTACAATGTTAATGGGATGTATTCAAGTGTTTAGTTTTACGTAGGCCACCCAGTATATCTCACTTTGAACCATATGATTTTACTTAATCATTTCTATTAATGTCTGAATTCGATGAAGTATCTAATTGTTCTTCATGATTGTAGTACCCGTTCAAATAGTTGAAGTTTACAATAAATATTGTCGGTAATATTTTCAGGCGCGAGGAATTCCATTCGTTATTGGATAAGTGAAATGGGTTTTTATCCAGGGAAGTAATTGGTTTCAAAATGTGTCCCTCTGTAAACAAAGAAAAGGATTCATTTTTCAGTGAAGAGATTTAATGGTAACAGATACATATTGGCAATAATGACAAGGATATTGTGCGTTTTTAACTGCAGTTATGTGATAAGTAATAACCAATATGCAGTTAAGGAAAATGGAATTCAAAACGCGCGAAGACCGAATTTAAACGTTTATATAGTTTATGTAGTTATTTGGCCGGTATCCTGAGAAAGTTATATTAATTTATGATTAAC